GTCTCTGGTTACAGCAGGTCACGTGATGAGATGTAACAATACATAATCCCAAATCAAGTAACATGAGGAAAGGGTTATTTTTTCTGTTACATGAGGAAGCTGGCAGAGTGCTCATGCGTTCTGAATATCCGACAACAACCCACTGGCACTGTGAGGTGACAGATCCATGTTTAAAGAATGTCTTTATTCCAGCCCAGCTGAAAAAATAGTTTTTGGTTTACAGCCCAAGTTTAATAATTACCTTTTATTTCTGTCTCCTCATTAACTAAAACAAGTCACACGCTACAGTCAATGTATTATCTTTATAATAAACACATGCTTTCAATTAAGTGTATTAAAATAATGTCATTATTAATTATGGGAGGAGTAAGGAATGTAGAGGATCACCCTCAGATATGAAGGATTTTATCCGGTCCAGAGAGATTCCATATCTTTACAATGGGGGAATTCTGTTAGAGCAGGAAGCATCTTCAAACCAGTGGATTTTTTTTCAAAGATGCCCAGTGTTGCTGGACATATATGATGCACGCTACATCATGTATGTATACATGTGATGTATGATACATGGAGGAGGTGGGTAAAACAGTAGTCTGAAATTTGAGATCCGGTTTCAATTCTCTATGCCACCATCTACCTCCTGTGTGACCTGGCGTATGGCCCTCAGTTCCTCATCTGTAAAATGGGGATAAAAGAACTTCTCTACTCCCAGGGGCATTGGAGGCATCCAGATACTATGGTAATGGTAGCTATCTGGTGGAGGGATAGCTCACTAGTTTGAGCATTGGCCTGTTAAACCTAGGGTTGTGAGTTCAATCCTTGAGGGAGCCATTTAGAGATCTGGGGCAAAAAATCTTTCTGGGGATTGGTCTGCTTTGAGCAGGGGGTTGGACTAGATGACCTCCTGAGGTCCCTTCTAACCCTGATATTCTATGATTCTAAAACTTAAGATACACAAACCAATTCTTGAGCAACCCTTTGATAAACTGGTGTCTCTGAGGTGAATCTAAGTCATTTGACAGGCTGGAGTTCCATTTTTAATCATGGCCCATGAGTTGGGGTATAAATGTAGGACTCCCTGCCAGCCTTAATCCAGCACCAATCACTCATTCATGTCAATGAGAAAAATCTGTGACACTTCCCAGGGATACCCAGGGCTGTGAGGCACCTTGCTACCACCTGCCCTTAGCAAGAGGAAGTCTTGCCAGGGCCAGCTTCCCAACTCCTCTAGGCCTACCTCTCTTGCTACAGGTTAGCGATAAGCACACTCCAACCCCCGAGGCCTCCAATTGTTTTCTGGATTGCCCAGACTAAGTGTTAAAAACAAAGGGTTACATATTAAAATAAATTATAACACACATTCTAGAACCTAGACTTATTTAACTAGATACCTTTCTGTTGTATAGAGCAGAGCTCACCCAAAAGCCTTCCAGCATCTTTACAGCCAGAGTTGGCTGTGATCTTTCATTCATGAGACAACTCATGCTGTCAGTTTGCCGCTTAGGTGAAAAGATGCAGGAGGGTGTATCCCTGCACCCCCAGTTATACACCCACAATCCATTATCCTTACTCATAAATAAGGTGCCCCCTGCTGGTGGGTTTTTCCTGTATATTTCTTTCTTGGTGATTTCACAATCTCAAGATTAGCATTTGGCTCAGTCTGCAATAGGCATACAATACACAATATCCACAGGACCAGACGAAGAGAGATAAGCATCTATTACCGCCTATCTGGTAACCTGTCTTAACTCCCAGACTTTAAGTGCATAATTTTCCATATAGATCAGTAGTTTTTCTACTGGGAGGCCACAGAGTATGTCTAAGGGGTCTGCCAAAGGTGGTCGTTACCATACAACAGTGGTTTTCAACCTATGGTCCATGGACCCCTAGGGGTCTGCAGACTATGTCTAAAGATTTACAAAAGGTCCACACTACCATTTTTAGGGGTCTGCAAATGAAAAATGTTGAAAACCACCGGTATAGAGACATAACTCTTGAAATACTATCTGTACATACATTTTGCAAAGATTGATGATCAGTGGGCTACTAGCTTTTGTTAGAGACCTCAAATGCCATCATTTGGTGAACTAATATGTATATACTTGACTCAAGGAATCCCTATGCACCACTTGTGCTCTCTGCCAGTTAGCATCAGGAGGTGCCTGGGTCAGAACTTCCCATTCAGATCAAGAGTAGAATATTGCCATTATGTAGTCGTTAAATTACAGGTTGTTGTCATTATTTAAGTGCCTTATTGCCATGTTCAGTATCACACAGCGGTGGAATATGCCCACCCTTAGGACCAGAACTAGATTAAGGCAAACTTTGGCACCACAATTGTCTAAATGTGTGTAAACTGACATGGTGAAATGACACACACAGGCCACACTGCAAGAACGGACACTGGGCTGTTACTCCTGCCTAGCTCTCAATTAGCACTTGAATTAACAAGCTGGTTTAACTACTGTTAATCAAAGAACTCAATAGCTTTGAAGCTGCTTTCCCATGTTTGCAAATAGGGAAGCAGATTCTTTCAGTCCCACTCTGTGTTATCAGTCTCAAGATGGCAGCTTCCTATTTGACAATTCATTTTTATTGTATTTAATACACTTAATGATTTAATTTAATTTGTCAATTAGGTGTAGAGAACAGAATGCAATTTATATTCCAAATATTCTCCTTTAACATGCTCAGATGATGATGATTAGAGATGTAAAGATACTGCAAATGAGTATTCATGAGCATTTGTTCAAATAGAAACCACAGATCCACGTCGATACAAATAAGAGATTATGATTGCTGTTTTGTCGATATTTTTGTCAACAAAAGCTTGTTCCCAAGAAGGCTTTTTGAAAAGGGAAAGTGCTGCAAATATATGTGAAACGATGTAATCACACAGGAAAACTCATGCAAATATATTTGTGCCTGAAATCTCAGGTGGTCATTTGTGAATAGTCTGAGAGCAATCCAGTCAGGAAGTGGAAATAATGTCAGGTGATTTAGCTGACAACCACTCAAGATCAACAGTATATTACAAATAGAAAACACATGACCAAAAGTCAAAGCAAGTAGTTCACAACCAGCCATAGACTGAAATATATTCTTAAGAAACAATTAATTGCATGATTTCAAAAAATGAATAAAAACCAAAGTCTGTGGGTAATTCACAATCCTGACCTTGGGCTGAATTCAGTTCTGGTGGACAGGCTGACAGCCCGAATTCCTGAATGGGAAGAGGAGTGGGAATGGAATCAGATTGCTGTGGGTCTCAGTTTGAGATAATCTTCTTTGTTGGTTCAAAATGATTCTTATTCCACTGTATGTGGAACGGCCCAGGGCTGGAACTCTGCTGAAAGAAATGAAAAGCTTTCATAAAATCATGTCATGTGCCGAGTGTGCCAGGCCATCATGCAATAATAGCTAAAACATTCTGTAATTAAAAGAAATAGCTAGTTATGGTGTCTGAATATGATCAAAGCCCTTTTGTCCGCCCTGACATTTGGCACATGTGAGAGATTTCTGCTTACATGGAAAATACTGTTGTGGTTTTTCTCTTGGTTTTAAGTGGCAAGAAACATACATCTCAGATTATCCCCAAACTGAAAGAAAACAGTAACGGGGAGCTGAGAACCAAAATGTACACGATGTAAAACGTCTACTGTTTCTGGGAGACAAAACCTCTGATCGCACATAGGAATGACTTCTGAGTAGAGGTAGAGCTGCTGTGGTGGAATCAGGTCATTTTTCAGATGAGATAGGAATAAAGCTTCTGGAGTCATTCACAAATGTCAAGTATCAGAGGGGTAGCCGTGTTAGTCTGAATCTGTAAAAAGCAACAGAGAGTCCTGTGGCACCTTTAAGACTAACAGAAGTATTGGGAGCATAAGCTTTCGTGGGTAAGAACCTCACTTGTTCAGATGCAAGTCTTGCATCTGAAGAAGTGAGGTTCTTACC